GCACTCTTGCATGTGCACCCAGCTGTATGGAGTTAAGCATTACTTAATTTGAGGTCCAATGGTCTGTGCAGCTGTGCGTGGTTAGAGAGTACTCAGTGACCAGGCCCTTTACTATTACAAGGATGATGAATGCAGAGCTGACTGTGCTTTAGACTTCAAAGCTTCTTAAGAGCTCTAAAAAAGGGGTAGCCTTTGTAAGTTCATAATAAAACCTTAATTCCTACAACTTTTAAGTGTTGTGTGTTGTATCTGTTTTTGTATCCTCTAATTATAATTCCTGGTTACAGGCAGGGAAAGTTTCTAGGTCAGTATTTCAGATAGCTTTTAGAGTAAAACTTGGGTAGAGAGCTCTTGGGAGTGAGTGAGTTCTCTGAAAGAGTTCGTGCTATGGCATATGCACAATGCCACAGTCATAGTCTTTTTGTCAATTTATATTTTATACTCTATAGAACTTGAAAAGTATCCTAGATCTCCTCAGGTTACTCAATAGTCTTGGATCTCTCTGATCTATGTCCTAGGTCTGAGCTAGGAGTCTAGGTTGCTCAGCAATGCTAAAAAAATTGTGATCAGTGTCCAAATCTCGGTGATTTGATAAATAATTTTCTACTAGTAAAACTAGTAATTTAAACTTAAAATTTTGAGGAAATACAGTGCTTCTTAAAATGTGTATATTGTTTTGGGTTATTTTGTTGTATACATTGTTCTGGTTATTTTCTTGTGGTATTCAGCTCTAAGAATCCAGCTTAACATCCTACCTGAGTGTTAACTTCAAATGAAATTTAAGGTGTAACTTCTGAATTTATTTGCTCAGCCCTTGTAGAGCATTACTTGCATCAAGTTTTGCCACTCAAATCCTACTACTTAATGACAACAGACACTTCTTGCTTTCTGTAGACCTATGAACACCTAAAAAACTAAAAAAATTAAGAGACTTTCCAGATAACATAATCTTCAAAGGTAAACTATGTTCTCACACTGCACTCAAAGATTTTGTTGCTCACTCTGCAACCTTGCTATATTTAGTCTTAAAAGAAGAAGGTTAGGGGAGAATTCTAGCTCAGATCTAAAACAGGTCAAGGAATTTGCAAGGATTAGTCCACAAAATATGAAAAGTGAAGTAAGACAGATATAAAGATTATTTGGATTTTGTATAAGCTGTGATACACGGAATAAAAAATGCTAGGTTGAACAACTCCTTAGTGGTAGGCAAGATATCTTAGTGATTTTCTTGCCATAATTAAACTATTACGGTCACCATTAAACTATCTCATCGCTTTAAGAACTACAGTTTCTGCTTATTGTTTTCCCAGATGAGACACAAAATAATACACGTAATAAAAAATGCTAGGTTGAACAACTCCTTAGTGGTAGGCAAGATATCTTAGTGATTTTCTTGCCATAATTAAACTGTTACGGTCACCATTAAACTATCTCATCGCTTTAAGAACTACAGTTTCTGCTTATTGTTTTCCCAGATGAGACACAAAATGAAAATCCTGATTGTTCTCAGCCTTTATCACACTTATTACAGAAAGAGTATTCCAAAAATATTCTTGCAGTGGCTACTGAAATGAGCTTTTCTCGGAAGAATCAGAACAGCTTTTCAATTTATAGGATTATGCTAAAAAGATTTGTTTACAAAAACAAAATACTGCAATTCAGAAATTCAAACACCTGCTTAAGTACACCATTTCAGAAAACTGGATTCTCTTTTTCTTTTCCCTAAATGCATAACTAGGCTCACTTTATTTTTTTTTAACTCATATAACCCCCAAATGTATGGAACTGATCCTGACAGTGGCACAAACAGGAATTATGCTTCATACTTTTTGCAACTCATCACCTCGTCTCTTTTTCACTGCAGTATATTAACTGCTTACAGGATGTATCCTAAAACTCTTCTTCAGCTCTGGAGAGCAGGGAAGTGACTTGCAAATGTGATAATATACAACAGAAATCGCTTAGAAATTCCTAGTCAATGTAAACATTGCAATATAATTATAGAATCCTTTTTTTTTTAAATAGCTGTCAGTATGCGTTCTTTCCCCCAAGATTTACGGATTGGACTTTGGAGTTTGCCCTAAACTTGATTCAAATATTTGCCCTGGACTTACACACTTGCACGGCCTCTTGAAGAGTGTCTAAGCATGTGCCTTAGCTTTTGTTCCGTGGTTTATGCAAAAGCATTCAGTACATAAAGTGCTCTATAGTGTCCCCTTGTGGTGCTCGGGCCTGCAAAAATCTGCGACCCGTGAGAACTGTGTCCACGCTGTGTGCGAGCGACCTCTGGAGCCACGCAAGCACGACTACAGCAAGGCCACAGGGCAGAAATTTATTCACTTCGAAAATGTTACTGTTAATTGCTTGCATTGCTCTGAAGTACTTATTAGTACGTACGTAAAATTAATGAAGACCTCTAATAAGCTGGGGGCGAGGGTATGCTTCTATTCATGTTGCAGGACAAAACCGTTGGGTACCAGCGCGTTAGATAAAGCCGGCATTATCAACACCGATGGCTGTGGAGAGAGGAGAAGATCCCAAGGAAGAGTTCCAGCAATCATCGGAGGACTAGTCCTCTATGGACTTGCTGCAAGGAAAGCGATCACTGCAATGCCAGCACCACCACTTCAACCTCGAGAGAATGTGTGGGTACCCTTGGTGCACCTGGGGAACCGGACTCAAACGAATAGTTGTAATGGGATGTATAGTGCTAACTGTAATCATAATCCCTTGTATGTTTTTGCCATGTCTCATAAAATTGATACGTGCCTTAGTGGAAAGAATAACTGTTATAAAGAAGAATGCGAATTTAGTCAACACCGTTGAAGAAAAGGAGAAGAACTTGCTGAACTGTTGGGAGGTTTTACAGCGTTGCCAAAGCCAACTCCTTGGCTACTGCGCTTTGGGTCCTTAACTATGCCTGGTGCTAGAAAACAAAAAAGGGGGAGATGTGGGAAACTGAGAAACCGTGAGAAACTGTGGGAAGCTGTGGGAACGGTGAAAGTTAGGAGTGAGAAACTGTGAAAGTCAGGAATAACAGATTAGCAGATAGAGAAACCTAAAACGCAGGCCGGGCACAGCGATCTCTGGTTGGTTACCTGTTGTCCGTTAGCAGCATTGGACCCAGATGGCAATAGAGCCAAGGAATTGGCTAGAGGCAGGGGGAGGGAGCGCGTGGACAGCGCGTGGACAGTGTATGCTCACATACTCGGAGAATATATGTTTGGTCTGATGCTCAATAAAATGGCTTGTGGTCCTAAACCTTAAGCCCCAGCTCCTTCGATGATTCCCACAATACAGCTTGATGGGAGCCCCGGCATCGGTGATTATGCTCCCCCTCTCGTCCCTTTTTTTTTTGTATTTATGGGGGGAGTGAGGGGAGTGGTAGGCTTCCTGACCTGTTTGCAAAGCTCATGATGAAATTCCATTGTTTACACTAAATTAGATGCAAGGGTTGTCTTGGTTTAAGAGCTCATTTGGCCTCAGTGTGGAGGGAAATCTAAGGTTGGTGTCAACATTAAGGTATTGGGATGCAACTTTTTCCACTTTGTAGACAAAAACAATTGAACACACAAGTCTTTTGACCCTCTAAAAATTTCAGCTGCTCAATATTTTCCTTGTCTGGCATGTATTTTCATGGCAGATTCAGATAAAGATCTAATCTTTTCAAATTCGCAGCTCTGTATATGCACTTTTTAAAGGCTGTTCTCGAAGGATGAGTTCAGTTACAGTATGTATGAAGACACTGTTTAGTGATGGACATGAACTCTGAGGCTTAAATAGCAACAAGGCTTCTACAAATGACTGTATCAGGAAGCAATCAGGACAACTTCATACAAAATAGAAGTACCTTCAGAATGTTGAAAGATTTTACAGAAAAAGATATGAAGATAGTAAATCAGGACATGTGCTACGGGAAAGTCACTGCAACATTCCTATCAGTATTTGTTGAAAATTTTTGAACAAGCACTTGGTCTTCAGAACTGAAGAACCTTTACAAAAAGTTCTTAACAGGGAGCTACAGATTTTTTATTGTCCCAATAGCAATTTGTGGAGACAAACTTCTCTCAGGGATATCAAATATACTCAACTGACTTCAAACAGAAGAAAGTTTGGAGGAATTACTGAAACTAGAGGTATTATCTATCTCTGTGCATTTTAAGCAAACATACTAACACTAAGGTTCAGATTTGTAAAGTGGTAAATGATGCCCATGAAGCGCAAGTTAACCTTAACTTCTACTAATTTTAAAAATAAAAGAAGGTAGTGGAAACTATTATGAGTCATTCAACCCTTGTTGGTACTGCAAATGTTGTTATAACTGTTGTAAACACTAGTTACGAAAGAACCTAAAACAAACAAACAAAAAAATACCAAAACTTAATAGTGTTTTGTAATCAGACCCATATACACATAAATTTAACTACAAAATATAAAAACAGAAATTCTGAAATGGGAACCTTTTCATGTCTTCTCAAAATGCCCTGCACAAGAGGGCATTTGTGTAAAGCAGAGTAGATCTAAATCTGATTAGATTTAGAAAATGTTATTATCTCATAGCATAGACCCCAAAACCCATTGGTCTGTGCTTGGAGAGATATTCTAATTAATTAACAGCAAAACCCAAATACCTTTACGCCTGATGCATGCTCTTCAAAGGTAAACCATAAATTCTTTCCCTTGTATTACTGAGCTCTCAGTCACACAGAAGACTGTTACAGCCAATTCTGTTTCTGCAGCATGGCCCTTGAATCAAGGAGGACTTTATCTCCCAAGCAGAAATCAATGGAATGCTGTAGGGAACTGAAGAGGCCAGACCCTGTAATTCCGTGTGTATTTAACAACAGCTTGATCTGCAATTCTCACAAGACCAACTAGCAGATTACTTCTGTACTGTACCTCTCATCAGGTCCACTGTGATATCTTTCCTTTGGTATCTTTGGCAATCAAAGATGATGATATCCAGGGTCTGTGATGTTTGTTAAAAGGAATGCACTTACCTGACATAAGGATCTGGGTTGCCAGTAACTCTGCACTCCAACAATACTTTGGTTCCTTCAGCCACTTCCTGGCTGCGGAGCTTCTGAATGAATCGAGGCGCTGAAGACTGGTTCTTGTCTGTGTTCGTGTTCACGAAAGGTTGGCAGAGGACCATTTCACTTTGCTGTGTGATGCTTTTCTTTTCAGCAAAGCGTTGTTCTCCATTGAGATGAGCTCCAGGTAATTTTGCCTCAGGTTCAGTCTCCTGAGGTGGCGTGCCAAAATCCTGGTTCACTGAGGTACTTATCATAGTTGGTTGTTTCTTCTTAGGAGACAGGTATCCACTATCTGGAGAAGAAGAGTCTCCATCAGGACTTCGACCTCTTGCCTTTGCTGCTTCTCTAAATATAGATGACAGTTCCTCAATGAATGTGGCAGCTTTGTCACACAGCTTGTTCCTGAAAGGAACTTCTCCATGGGATGCTGATTTGGATTTTGGGCTTGTCTTGGGCACACTTGGACCACATCTCTGTGAATTTTTCAGGCTTCGAATAAATCTGGGACTATCAGTTAGCAAAGGTGAGGTGCTTGCTTGCTTCCTGGAAATAGTAACGAAACCAGTTGCCGTTTGAGGCGAGGTGGGCAGCTCTTTCCGATTCTCTGGGAGAACGTGAGCTGCAGCAGATGAAGTCAGACTGCTTCTTTGAGGCCTCCATAAAGCATCTTGCTTGTGCAGTTTGGTCTCCCTGAAAGAAGCATTTTCTGAAGGGCTAGGAAGAGAGGTGTTGAAATAATGAGTGAATTCTGGAGCTGCATTCTGATCTTCCTTCACAGAACTGGCAATGGCTTTCCAAGCTATGTCAAGGCTCTTATATATCTCCTCCTGGGTGAGGAAGGCAGAGAGTTCATTTGAAAACTCCCCATCCTGTATGTCAGATAGGGAATCATAGAAAAAGTCATGTGAGGAAGAAGCTTCTGATATATTTTCAGGGTATCCCTCATTGGTGCCTCTCTCTGCACAGTGAGCCTCCTTCAGCATTAAAGAAAGAGGCAATGTCTGGCCACAGCTTCTGTCTTGCATGCTGGAAGACACAAATACAATTCCTTAAACTTTTCCATAAAAAAAGGCCTTTTATATCTTGGTTCCTATGAATTGGACACAAAACAGGGAGATGAGCAGAGGCCTAGTGGTGTATGGAAAACCTATCGTGAACCTTGGTTTCTGTTTCTAACTGGCCAGAGCTGCAAGTTATCTAGGTGGAAATGAGAACTTTTTTCATGCATCATGCAGACATATAAAGACATCCTTTCTCTGTATGCACACTAGCACAAGCTCAGTTCTGTTTTACTGATCTGAGTGATGTATCACATTGCTGCTATTACACCTTGCTTTTTTCTGTATTGTAGGCTTATAACAATTTCGGAAATATATATTTTTTCTCTTTATTATTGCTTTCCAGATTGCTGAATACTAAATTATAAATTCCAAGAGGAAAATAGTGTGCTAGTTGAAATCACTATGAGAATCAACATATTCGTAAGTGCCAAGTACATTCAAACTAAAATTCCCAAATTATTCTTGTGCTGACAATGTATTCATGGTCAAACTTTTTTGTTATTGCTAGGTATGATTTAGTAGCAGGCTTCCAAACACTGATGAATAGAATACTAAACTACCACTTCTTCTAACTGTACAACAACACTGAAGGAATATTCACGATATATGTATCATTCTGCATTACATGAGCGTGCTATGCATATTTTGTACCATCCTCATAAGGATACTATGTGCCATACGTGCACACTCCAGTTTCTCCTCACATATTTTTAAAATAAGGATGTAAAACCAGCAAGAAACAAAACATCAGAGAAATCTCTCTTGTTCAAAGGAAAGCCACTAGATAATCTGTTTTTAAAAATAATTTCTGTTGCAAAGCATTTCCCTAAGTTGAACATCAATGTTTTCAATTATCCTTGACAAATCTCTTCTTATTATAACTTCTATGAGATTCATTCTGTACAGGTAGATTTTATATATATATATGTATCTTTTTCACTTAATATTTTAAAGTATTGCTTGCATGACAGACAGATGGCTTGACACTCATGAGATGCACTCGGATGTATTTGACATTGGTTTGTGCTAGCTCCCATTAACGTGAGTCACTTCACTGGGGCTTCCCCAGCATGTGGCCATTAGCTGACCGTTAGATTATTTGAATTCTTGGCCTAGCATATGCATTTCTTCATATCTTTGCATGCCTTGCCAGCAGACTACAACTCATCACAGACAAGTATAAGAGAAAGAGAGGTTATTAGGAAACCAAAATGCTTTTAGAATACATTGATAGGTTTAGGCTTTGCTGTGATTACATCTTCTTTTCCTTTTATCCGTGTTTTCAGAGCAACAAATCTAGCAACCATGCCAATCTGTTGTCAATAAAATCTAAAAAAGTATATACAGTAGAACTGATTACCACACAGCAGCTTTAGAGAATGAATCTGAGAAGCCAAGCAAACAGTTGGTCTAGAGACTCAGCTGTTAGGGCCTAAACTGGATGAACGCCAGGGAATGACGGGTTAAACCTGGACTTTCTGTCTCCAAACTATTAGTTATTTTTCAAAACTCTGTACTCAAATAAACAAAGATGATTTTTTATTATTTAGACAATCCTGTTATAAATAACCATGCTTCAACTGGTATCTTTATTTGAATCTCATTCATGTAAGTTCCCAGCTTGCTCACATCTTAAAGTGATATATTCCATATTCAGATAAACTTTTGTGATTTCTACCCTGTGCTGTTCTGCTGTTTCAGTAGGTTGTGGGCTGAAGGATAGGGTGACATATATTCATTTTATTCATTTTCTCATGATGAATGGTAATATTATGAATGAACACTTTTCCTAATACTGAGCTTTATGATGTTTTGTTGCTTGATATAGGAAAAAAAAAATGGCTAAGTATGTTGTAATCTTAAAAGCCCAGTGTCTTAATTCAGGCAAACCAATCTACAACTGGGTACTTAGATAAAGTGAATGAGTTTACATATGCACTGGTTATTGGTGATTTCTAGTGCTGGTTAACTCTCTCAGTCTGGTGCCTAAAAATTGATTGTATGTCCAGCTTTAGCTAACTGAATGGAAAGTATATTGTAGTATAGGAAATAACTATTCTTTTAGAGCAACTTGTAATCACAGCAAAGTAGAGGTAAAATATTGCTAACTCTATCAAGTAGCATATAAGAACATAATGAGAAATATCTAATGCTATTTCTGGCTTCTCTGCCTTAGACTGCAGCATATTTATAACAGGTTTCATCATCATTACTCACTAGGTAATGTGCAAAGCCATATACTATATCATTTAAAGGCACAAACATAAAATACATTACTGCATGCAAATTAGTGTTTAGTTTTACGTCAGTGTTGTTATATCTAAATTATTTGTATGGTCCAATTTTTAATATATAAAAAAATTACAGGTAAACATATTAAAATATGTATTTTAAAAATCACAAAATAATATAAATACTCTAATAATATCACAATCAACTCAAGATGTACTGGATTATGGTTACGATCATCTTAAAAAAACATTGGAATAAGTTATAAAATTAAGGCGCCCAAGAGATAAATAACAAAATACAGGAAACAACAGAAAACCAAGGGATTCATTTCAACGAAGTATAAGCATCTTGAATTAGGGGAAGCTGTGCAAAGAAAAAATATTGCCCTAAACATAACAACCTAGAGCCAACCTGTTTAAAGAAGTAATACAAAGAAAGAAATGTATCTTGTAAGATTTTTGAAACACAAAGGTACTCCTTTCCCCCTGGATTTTGAAGTCCTACCCAACTATTCCCCCAAATACAAAAAATAATTTTAGCAGAAAACATAAAACAGACCTTATAACGAACAGGCCAGCATGAAGTATCAAATGGCAGATAAAGCTGCTGTTTTCCTTTTTTTGCTTAAGAAAGCTTAAAGCTGCTCCAGCTATTCACTAAAGATTGCTTGGTCCTCAGTAAGCATCGAGAAGACTGTAGCCTGTGAGCTACATCTGTCCTCTGTGACTATGTAATTCTTAACCCACTCATCTATATTTGGCAACTGAACTCATGTTTCAGTCGACTGCTACTATCTGAATTCCAGGAGAAGTAACGTTAGGCCTGGAAGTGGCACAAAGTTCTGTGCACTTGGGACTCAGAAATTCAAAGAACTTAATCATTTCAACGATTCCTTTTTGTTTTGCTTAGCACTGTAATTCAAACCATTTAAATTATTACCCTGGAATATTAAAATGCGAAAATTACTTACTACCAAAGTCCTTATCTCCAAAAGGAAAGGAAATGCTGTGATTTAATTATGGAAAAAATAACTCCTTTATGGCATTTTGCTTTAATACATTTTTTGACAAAATTATTTTTATGACAATAAATAAGAGAATGGGCTTTCTCTACTGAAAGTAGCTTAAAGCAGACAGTTTTCACATGTACCTTGACATCTTCTAAGAAAATAAAAGGCTTATTTAGTTTTATTAGAATAAGTGATACAATTTTGTGCATAATTTAATGGAATAATTACATATCTCTCTAATCATGTTACCCTACCTGAATAAACTTAATCAGTGATTTTTAACATATTGAATGAGGTAACCCTATCAAAAGGAACTAAGCCTGCTCAGAAATGACACACACAAATCCTGGAAAACAGGTATGCCTTATAAAGAACCTAGAATGCACTTCTGATTTCTTTGGCCCTGTATGCGGTAATGAGTAATCGCAGTCAACTTTCCCCTACTCTCCTTGCTAAGGAAGGACTTTCACCCCACCAAGGACTCCTGGGAGAGTTTTGCCTCAGGAAAGGGAAATTTTCTGTGAGAAAGCACACCTATGTCTTTTTAAGTATATTGTTTCCTTTGATACTCAGTGAAAGGAAGAAGTAAACATGAAGATTACTGGTTTAATCCACAGACTTTATCACATAATTTGGAGAAATACAAGCAATGTGTGGTTAGGATTGTTTCTGCCAGACAGCAGGCTGATTGTAGAAGTGAAATTCTCTAGAATAAAAAGAAGCTGTAGCTCCAAGGGGATACTATAGATTTCCATAGCTTCTGCTAGTCTGTTATGTCTCCTCTGTTATTTAAATTCTTTAAATTCTTTCTGTGGGCACTTCTTTTTCACTTCTCAGCTCAAAGTATTCTAGATGTTGCCCTACATTTATCATTAAGGTTTGTTCTTTGGCAACAACATAAGTGCCCACCGATGTGACAAAGGTGCACTGGTGACTGACCCATGATTCCCTATTGGGCCCAGCCCACCTTCATGGCATATCGAGCGTTGGTATCAAACATTTTATTTCTATGTTTAGTACGGTATCTTTCTTTGCATCTTCATATAGGCAATTACTGTCCCCTAAACACAGTTTCAATAGATTCACTAATAGTATTAACTTACTCCACAATGCACACTGACACCATTCTTATGCCTTGAGATTCTTGCTTTGCTATTTTGAAATTAATAGAAGGGATTTTATTACAGGTCTTTTTACGGTAAGTTCAGTGTGTCAAATAAGAACAGAATCCTCATTTCAATAGTTCCAGTTAAGAATAAAGGAGCCTGTAATCTACCAGTTAACTCCGGTATGTGTAATTTCTAAGCAATCACGACTCTGAATGATATCCAGACCCTGCGTTGGGCACCCAGCCTCTTCCCTAAATGCACGAGTGCTAGGCACCTTGGAACGAGAGCCAAAAATAGCCTGTGTATAAACAGCAACGAACTGCCTTGGGCTATCTTCAGCATTTTCTACAGGGAGGGGTGAATGAATTCCAACTTCTTGGAATGATATACTTAAAAGTGTCATTTCTGAGAAGAAAATAGAGCTGCCCAGAGACACTTGGAGATAATTTTTAAAGGATCAGAGCTTTAAAGAATACAGCTGCAGTGTTGGTTTTGTGTACATCAGGAACAACTACTAATTTCTGTACAGCATAGTGGCAGAAAAACTTGCCCAGAAAATGGAAGATCCGGTTAATTTTACTCCTAATGAAATTTTGGTCATATTTTGCAAACTT